CCATAGCCCCGCGATCGTCTATATGTGCTCGTTTTTTCGGACACCCCCGACCCCTCACCTTCAATCCCGGGATTAAAGTAAAATAAAATAAAAGTCACATATAAAAAAAGTGAACCTCCCCCCCCACCCCCACGTTTACGCACCTATAAATCCCCAAAAAAGGGTATAAAATTCATTTCAGTACAGCGCTGCATGACGGAATAAATGTCAGTCAAAGTACCGCAGCGCTGAATACTGAAAAATGGCCTGGATGGGAAGGGGGTTTAACACCGCGGATGTCAACTGGTTAAAAACATTTTGGCTTTAATAAATTGCATTCATTGGGTTCTCGGGCCTTTTGCTTCATTAGGCTGGGCACACACCATACAACCATCGCAAGACGTACGATCTGCCTATGTTGCATAGGCAGATCGTACTTGCAATGATCGCAAGCCACGCCCCCTGAGGGGCGGGCTTCCGATGACCGCAATGCCGAACAGGCAGTGTGCGCTTGCGCACACCGGCCCGTACGGCTGTTATCGTACGGACATGCCACAAACCCGCCAAACATCGTACGATGCTCGGCAGGTTTTCTAACATGTCCGTAAGTTTAAAGTCGTGCGACCTTACAGTAGTAGAGGTCACACGGCTTCCACACACCTTACGATCGTACGATCGCGGGATTTCCCGTGATCGTACGATAATCGTAAGGTGTGTGGGGACCCTTACCTGAAAGTGCCAGTCTAATTGGCTGCCAGGATCTGCGTCTCTTGTCTTGAACTCCCATGTATGTTAGAGATTTCCTAACCTACAGACATAGCACACCACCAAAAGTCTGTAGACATTACCTGTCAGATGTAGCAAGGGCATTCAAGCTGAATTCTAGGCAGATATAAAAGGCACACAGTTCTGTAGCTGTATGTAATTGGGCTGTATGTGCTTGTGAAACTGCAGCAGAGAAAGATCAGGCCCCCTTTTCTGCCAGACAAAACTGTGCCTTGTAAACCTCAGGATTGTATAACTCCTTTTAGCAGGTAAACCAGCTCTGTTTTGCATCTGTTTTTTGCTATTAAGCTGGAGTTCAGCTTTAATGACAGTCCTTTCCCAATTAGTTTAGTTTATGATAATGATATATAATTTAAAGGTATGTTGTATCACTAATGGGCCCTAAGTTAAGTATTGCTGGCCTGCTTTCGGATCATTTTGAGTATATAATGATGTTTTGTTTGTAGTAGTGAAGAATTGTGGAAATCTCTTGTCCTTTTGGGTATTAGCAATTGCAATACTGTTCGGAAGGTTGCATAATCAATGCTGCATTGGTTTCTCATGCAATCACCTGCAAGATCCGATCTGTGTATCTGGGGATGTTTTTTGCAGTAGATTTCCTGGTATAGATGTGAAGACAAAGCGAATGAATAATCAGCACAGAAAGCCCAAGGTTAAGGCCTTTAGAAAAGGGAATAAAAAAATCCCGTTTCTTCTGTGAGGCAGATTATCTTCCTTGGGGCAACCTTAGTCATGCGATTACTGTCTAAAGAAATGCGTGGCTCTGAGTCAAACATTGCTTTGTCTAATGTAGAAGGGACTGTGCTAAGGAATAATTCTTTTTACAAAAGCTCTTCTGATGAAGTATGTCACCAGAAAAATTGGTGTTTATGCCGCAATAATTGTGTCATTTAACTACTTGCTGTCCAGCCGTTGTATATAAATGGACAGACGGATCTCTTTTTTGATGCAGGTCGCCGTAATTGTACGGCGTTTTCTTTTTTTCGCCCTTGCGCACCCCTTAGCACGCACACGTGCTCTGGTTCTGTACCATGCGATTGCTGTGACCAATCACAGCTGTCACATGATGTAAACAATGGCTGCTGTTTGCAGCTTTGTCTCCTTTTTCCTCTCTCCTCGTGAGAGGAGAGGGAGAGATTTCAACGTCCAATTCACCCTCCACTGCCATACCGGTTACCCCCTTCTCTCACTAAGCCTCAGCCCTCTAAGCCTCCCAGGCTGTCATATCTCCAGTTCAGTGTTCTTAGATGGCAGCACTGTGGTGTAGTGGTAGTGCATATGCCTTGCAGCACTGGGGTCCCCGAATCGAATTCCCCCTTCTCTCACTAAGCCTCAGCCCTCTAAGCCTCCCAGGCTTTCATATCTCCAGTTCAGTGTTCTTAGATGGCAGCACTGTGGTGTAGTGGTAGTGCATATGCCTTGCAGCACTGGGGGTCCCCGAATCGAATTCCCCCTTCTCTCACTAAGCCTCAGCCCTCTAAGCCTCCCAGGCTGTCATATCTCCAGCTCGGTGTTCTTAGATGGCAGCACAGTGGTGTAGTGCATATGCCTTGCAGCACTGGGGTCCCCGGTTTGAATTCCCCCTTCTCTCACTAAGCCTCAGCCCTCTAAGCCTCCCAGGCTGTCATATCTCCAGCTCAGTGATCTTAGATGGCAGCACAGTGGTGTAGTGGTAATGCTTCTGCCTTGCAGCACTGTGGGTCTCTTTCCTCCGGGTACTCCAGTTTCCTCCCACACCCCAAAGGTTAATTGGCTCCTGTCTAAATTGGCCCTCATATGTATGCATGGAATGGGGACCTCAGACTGTAAGCTGATTGTAAACTATGTAAAACGCTGCATAAATTGTCGGCACAATAGAAATACCTGAAATGAATAAATAACATCAAGGTATAGTTGTTGCACAATTACTGATCCTTTTGAATCTCTTCTAACCAGAGACATTCCCAATGAGTGGCAGACTATCTACACAAAGGTAGTAAAGAAGAAGCTGGCAATTACAGGCCAATGAGTTTTTAAAGAAGAACTCCGGGCAAAAATGTCCTAACCCTTGCAGTGGTGCTACACCCGCATTGCAAGGGTTAAGTGCTCGTTTTGGTCTAGGGAGGAAAATAAGTTATACTCGCCCAATCCTGTGTGTCGGCTGGCTGTTCGAGCACTCCCTTTAGCCTGTCTCCTCCTCCGCTGCAATTATGATTTGACCCTCGGCATCCCCACGTAATATACTTGTAGGACGCAATGACTTGCAGGACTTTAGACCGCCGAGGGGGAGCAAGGATCCGGTCTAAGAGCCAGCCAGCTCCAAATATCGGGCGAGTATAACTTATTTTCCTCCCTGGACCAAATTGAGCACTTAACCCCTGCAATGTGGGGATAGACTCACTGCAAGGGTTAGGTAATTTTTTTTTTTATAACACTAGCAAGCATTGCAGTCACCACAATACATACAGCTTTGAGTGGTTGCCTTGCTAATTTTTACGTAGGCATTCTGGGGGTGGTAAAAAAGAAACATCTGTTTTTACCGCCCCTTTGCTGCATGTATGAACTTGGCCTAACTGATATCACATGCAGATCAAAGCTCATTCTTTTGATCTGCAGAAGAATGAAAACGGAGTAGTAGGAGAGAAGTAACAATGACTCGTATCTCTCCGTCCTGCATCTGAGGGCTTGTTCACACTGAAAGCGTGTGCGTTCCAGAGCGGTAGCTGCTGGAACGCACCACGATTGCTAAGAAACTTCTCCTCGCATTTTGGGGCGGCAGAGGGCGTGGCGGTGCATTGAATTCAATGGCACTGCTTCCACGCCCCCCCACCTGCACTGAGATCGGACGCGTGGCGAAACATTGCCAGCGTTGCGTTCCACTGCAAACGCAAAAAATCGAGCAAGCCCTATTTTTTGCGTTTGCAGTGGAACGCTGGCAAACTTTTGCCACGCGTTCAATCGCACTGCGGGTGGAGGAGCGTGGAAGCGCTGCCATTGAATTTAATGCACCGCCACACCCCCTTTCTCCCCAAAACGCGGGGAGAAATTTCTTGGCGATCGCGATGCCTTCCAGCAGCTACCGCTCTGGAACGCACACACTTTCGGTGTGAACAAGGCCTGAACAGTGTTTATAAACACTGTGTCAGATGGTGTCTTTTTTTTTTTTTTTTTTATAAAGCAGTTGTTATATTTACAAAGCTCCTATGCAGCAACTACACTTGATTGTCAACAAGTGTGTGTGGGTGAGAGGGGGGGGGTGAGGCAGCAGGGCGAGGGCATACATTGATTTGCCTAGTGTCAGTGGTGTAGTGGTTAGCGCTTCTGCCTTGCAGCACTGGTTCGAATCCCGACCAGTTCACTATCTGCAAGGAGTTTGCATGTTCTCCCTGTGCTTGTGAGGGTTTCCTCCCACACTCCAAAGACATGCTGCTTAATTGGCTCTTGTCTAAAATTGGTCTTGTATGTATGTATGTATGCATGTGATATGGGGGACCTTAGATTGTAAGCTCCTTGAGGGCAGGGACTGAATGTGCAAGTAAAGCGATGCGTAAAATTGTTGGCGCTATATAAATAACTGTAATAAATAACTGGTTAAAGAGGAACTGAATTTTATCCTCTGCCTGCCTTTTTTGGGTACAACTTTTCAAAGGATCATCTCCCTGCACCTAAATTTTCCCCGTTACTAACTTACCATGTCTTATTCTGCACTGTCTCTGTGTGTGAAGGCAACCATGGCAGAAGAAACTTATAGAGGCAAGATTTTGTTGCTTCATGTCAGAGCCCCCAACAAGCAGAACAGTGAGCAGCACAGTAGTGACATCACCAAATCTCACTCCAAATCTCCTTACACTAGCAGTCAAGGACAGCAGTGCCTCAGATCTCACACAGCAGATATACAGCTATAAGGCAGTAGGCCCAGGAGTGTCTAGGCACCCTCACATTCTGTTGCTTTTATTCTTGATTCAATCTGATAAAAAAACAGGTTAAAATAGAGGGGGGCGGGGATAGAAACAGGAAAAAGAATGCAGCCACCACATCTAAGGTTTGGCAAGCAGCAATATTTTAGTTTTGGGTTTAGGTGCACTTGAAGCACAGTAACCCATAGCAACAAGGTTTTACCTGCAGATGATCAAAATAGTGGTGATAGTGATATATTTATATGTTTACAGAACTTAATGCATTCTATTGTGGTTGTCATTTACAGCAGATGGAACCTGGCCTGTCACTTACCATATCACGGGTTTGTCATTTTGCAGGATAAAGAGCTCTAAAACCTATTACGATGTGCTGGGTGTGAGTACTGATGCTGGAGAAGAAGACCTAAAGAAAGCCTACCGGAAACTTGCATTGAAATTTCATCCAGATAAAAATCATGCACCGGGAGCCACCGACGCTTTTAAAAGTAAGTGTGCATGTGTTTTTTTGTTTTTTTCTTTCCATTTGAACATCATGTGTTGCAGCGTGCTGTACTCACAAGACCACTTTCCTAAGAGGCCTGCAATGCAGAACTTCTGTAAAAGCATCAAATTCTCCCTCAGCACAATTGGTTCTTCTCTCTCACTGGTGCTTCCATCTTTGTCCCAGTCTCCTCTTCCGGGTTCGTATTCTTCAGCCACTTGATTGTCTGCGCATGTGCACAGGAAGTCTCTTCATTTCGAGCCTGTGCTCTGAGCGATGCATGCGTGGCTCAGTGTACAGGGGGAAAAAGATTGATGACTGGAAGAAAGAAGCTTCCATGGCAAAAGAAACTTAAAGCCTGCCGATCAGCAATTTTTTTTTATTTAATTTTTTTTTTCTAAAGACTTCATTTTTACTATGTGTTGTAAAATCACTATCAGTTTGTTTTTCAGTGTTACTTTTAATAAAAACAAATTCCCATGTCGCATCATTTCAACATCCATGTTGTATTAAACACTGTTATAATAGAAAGCTGATGTCATGTTGTATGTTATAAAAAAAAACACAAAAAAAGGCTTCTTTGCATTTATACTGTAGACTACATTTGAGGTATATATTATGTAAACTTTTACATTGACATTTAAGGTAAGCTTGCTCCTTTGATGGACTACAAGCTCAATACGAGTTAGTAAACTAAACATGAGATTGTAGTCTATCATGGGATTGAGTTTGGTGCGGTGCCTACTTTACAACATACACAGGGATAGAGAAAATTTGTTTTGTTCCCTGGAGCTCCGATATACCATATATATCCCTTTATGTTTATTGGGGTAGGTCATCCAGGTCATGTAACCAGAGGTAATGAGCACAAAAAAATGAGAACAGTGTTCTCAAAAGAAAAGACACTGTGAAAGATGGTTACTGAACGGACCGAGACCTTTTTCTTATAAAAGTATAAACTTTATTGTTACAAAATCTCATATTTCGCACCTGTTACTCCATTTCTACAAAAAATCTTCATAAAAGAACAACGTTGTCCATAACATTCATACATACATTCTTCCATACATACTATGCACTCACACAGATTACGGCAATTACTATCTTCAAAACTTCTAAAGGGGGAATTCTCCCAATATAACTCTTGGTCCCTCTCGGTACTTTTTTTCCCGCTTTTGAGGATGCAAAAAATACAACAACAATAAGAGGGGGAAAAAACTGAGCTGTAGTTTTACTTTGAGATATAGGTCTGACCTGTTTGTGGCACCTGATGCATGAAAAATATAATGAAATAGGGACTGTTTGTCTGTAATTGAGGAAAAAGGAAGTCTCTATAATCAGTACAATTTGGGGCAAAAACAATCCACTATGATCATGTATATATGTTCTGGTCTCAGTATATCAACCCTTTTGATGAGTGAATTCGTTTAGACAGTCTCAATTATTTGGTTTTATAAAGTTATTCAAACTTTCCCAGTGCAGTGAAGTTCCTCCTGGTGTTGGATATATTTCAAGGGGGAGACCTGTGTGGGATTAGTGGAGCTTGTGTAATAGTCGACCGTACTCACAGTTAGCTGGCTCGTACCCCTCCTTTTTTCGAATCCAGGGAGTTCCGTTTGTTCAACCTTATCACCAGCAATTGATTCGTCTGTGGCTTTTCTAGATCCCAGGGTTTTTCTTAATACCTCTGCGAGGTTAATCCGTTTATTGTCCCCCGTTTTTTTGGAGCCGAGGAGTTTCCTTTAGTTAAGCACTATTTACAGTAACTAGTTGTTCCATGGTTGTTTCGATATCTCAGGATTTTTCCGTACTTCAACACAATACGTTAGTAACTTCCAGACGTTTGAATTTCACTCATCGTTGTTCAGGAAACAAAGTAATCCCAATGATCCGTAAGGGAGCTGCCGTTTGTGTGGGTGACATAACATGTGTAACACACACTCAAGGGTGGACGCGTTTCACTCCGCCCATCGGAGCTTCGTCTGCACCTTCTGGATGACAGGTGTGAGGTCTACTTAACTAGCCCTTTCACACCTGCTCGATGATTGCATCCAGGATGTATGTTTCAAGAATGGATACTTATGAAAGCTATATATAAAAAAACATTCAAAATCTGCCTTTTCTTTTCAATCAAAAAGCATTCATACCGGCAGAGATGTTTCTATTTGGACATTTATCTAAATATCTATAAAAAGCTGTCCGTTGGTTATTTAGGAAATTATATGTTTATTTTTGGTTATATTTTTGAATCGGCATATATTTCTAGAGGGGGTATTTGTTATCATTTTAACTAGACATAAATTCTTTTAAAGAAAGACATTGAGATTCATCTCATTATTCAGGCCAGCGGGAAAAAGGGTATCTAGCTTATATACCCACATTTTTTCTTTCTGCAGGAGTATCTTATCAAAATCTCCTCTCCTGGGTGGGAGGTTTAAGACATAGATCCCCTTTACCCTCAGGCCTTCTGGTGAGGAGTTATGATATTCTGCAAAATGTGTTGCTATAGGACTATCAATATCTTTGTTTTTTATATCCCTTAAGTGCTCTCCTATACGGGTGCGTAGCTGTCGTTTTGTTTTCCCAACGTATATTTTCTTGCAGGGGCACTCCAACATGTATATTACCTTCTCTGTATTACAATTAATGAAGTGTGTGATTTGGTATGATTTTATTCCCCCTGAATCTTGGAACTGTTTTGTTTTTTCTACATATGGGCATATATGGCATTTACCGCAGGGATACATTCCTTTTATTTTTGGTAACATTGGCATGATCAAACTATTCTTGCTTGGCTTATATTCCGAGTTTACCAGATGGTCTCTCAGATTTTTAGCTCTCCTTGCTGTCAGGAGTGGTCGCGGTCCAACAATATCGGCAAGTGTCGGACATAGATTCAGAACATGCCAATGCTTTTCAAAAATTTGTTTCAGCTTTGGCCAGCTTGACCCATATTGTGTTATCATTCTCACATGGTTTACTGTCCTTTTTGTTCTCCTTTGCTATTTCTTCCTTTTAAGGATCTCAGCTCTACTTTTCTTTCCTACTTTGGTTTTACTTGTCCGGAGAGTTCTATGTGAATACCCTCTCTGTCTGAAGCGATTATAAAGGGATCTTGATTCCATCACATAATCTTTATGTTCTGTGCAGTTCCTTTTAATCCTCAGGAACTGCCCTGTGGGGATTCCTTGCTTCAATGACGGGGGGTGATGGCTATTTGCATGCAGAAGTGTATTAGCTGCAGTTTCCTTTCTATAAGTTCTTGTGATCAATCTCCCCCTCCCGAACCCAATCATTAGGTCCAAGAAGGGGATTTCTCGATCACTGGAATTATATGTTAATCTTAAATTCCGATTATTAATGTTTAGTTCTGAAATGAATTCTTCTAGTTGATTTTCACTGCCCTGCCATACCATCAATACGTCATCCATATACCTGAGCCATGTTTTAGTATGACCCAGGTATGAACGATGACCATAGACTACCTCCATCTCCCAGAGTCCAAGATGTAAACATGCGTAGGCGGGTGCCCAAGGGGCTCCCATTGACGTTCCTTTAAGTTGTTTGTAATATGATCCTGCAAACTGAAAGCAATTATTGGAGAGGGCAAATTCTAACATTTCTACGAGAAACTCATTTTGCGCTGCCATTTCCGGGTAGTTCAATTCCAGGAAATGGCTGACTGCTTTTAGTCCCCATTCGTGAGGGATGGATGTATGATCCTTACGGATCATTGGAATTACTTTGTTTCCTGAACAACGATGAGTGAAATTCAAACGTCTGGAAGCTACTAACGCATTGTGTTGAAGTACGGAAAAATCCCGAGATATCGGAACAACCATGGAACAACTAGTTACCTAAATAGTGCTTAACTAAAGGAAACTCTTCGGTTCCAAAAAAACGGGGGACAATAAACGGATTAACCTCGCAGAGGTATTAAGAAAAACCCTGGGATCTAGAAAAGCCACAGACGAATCAATTGCTGGTGATAAGGTTGAACAAACGGAACTCCCTGGATTCGAAAAAAGGAGGGGTACGAGACGGCTAACTGTGAGTACAAGCTCCACTAGTCCCACACAGGTCTCCCCCTTGAAATATATCCAACACCAGGAGGAACTTCACTGCACTGGGAAAGTTTGAATAACTTTATAAAACCAAATAATTGAGACTGTCTAAACGAATTCACTCATCAAAAGGGTTGATATACTGAGACCAGAACATATATACATGATCATAGTGGATTGTTTTTGCCCCAAATTGTACTGATTATAGAGACTTCCTTTTTCCTCAATTACAGACAAACAGTCCCTATTTCATTATATTTTTTATGCATCAGGTGCCACAAACAAGTCAGACCTATATCTCAAAGTAAAACTACAGCTCAGTTTTTTCCCCCTCTTATTGTTGTATTTTTTGCATCCTCAAAAGCGGGAAAAAAAGTACCGAGAGGGACCAAGAGTTATATTGGGAGAATTCCCCCTTTAGAAGTTTTGAAGATAGTAATTGCCGTAATCTGTGTGAGTGCATAGTATGTATGGAAGAATGTATGTATGAATGCTATGGACAACGTTGTTCTTTTATGAAGATTTTTTTGTAGAAATGGAGTAACAGGTGCGAAATATGAGATTTTGTAACAATAAAGTTTATTCTTTTATAAGAAAAAGGTCTCGGTCCGTTCAGTAACCATCTTTCACAGTGTCTTTTCTTTTGAGAACACTGTTACCATTTTTTTGAACATACACAGGGACCATGGGGAACACAAGTAGCTACCCTCCAGAAGGAAGGACAGTGTCAGCACCAATTCAGAGATGATTTGAGAATCTACAGCCGAATAATACACAAATAAGATACATTATTGTTAATAGTTGAGGTACTTGAATGTGTTTTTTAAGATTTAGTGAGTTTAGTGTCACTTTAATATATGACTATAAAGTAGAATTGCTAGTTATTTTCTAGGATTATATTAGAATATATTAGAATACAATGTTATTTGTAAAAATGGTCCTTTTAGAGAGGAGTTTGATTATTGCTGCATTTTACTGTATTCTACACATCTCTGCCCTGAATGTCTAATAATTTTCCTGTTGTGTAGAACATCAAACATTTTGTTGACCACTGGTGTTTCAGGCAGCAAATGTAATCGGAATGCAGTCATGTATATAATGTATGTATGTATGTATGTATGTATGTATGTATGTTCAGCCACCAATTGTGCAAGTTCTCCCACTTAAAAAGATGAGAGAGGCCTGTAATTGGCATCATAGGTAGACCTCAACTATGAGAGACAAAATGAGAAATCAAATCACATTGGCTGATTTGGAACAAATTTATTTGCAAATTATGGTGGAAAATAAGTATTTGGTCACCTACAAACAAGCAGCAAGAGTTCTGGCTCTCACAGACCTGTACCTTCTTCTTTAAGA